TCCGATTTCTAACATGTTCACGTTCGAGTCTTGGTAATGTTCTAGTCAATACTCTATCATCACTCCAACCAAAATCATGGCCAATTCATACTCGTGTTGATTTTCTAGTACCGTTGTCGTGGTTCACAGGGACACAATTAGAGCCATAGAGAAAGGGAGGAAAAATTCCAGATAATGGAAACGTAGAGAGACATGGATGACAAAGAAAAGGCTAAAGAGAGTCCTACTCTCAGCGAAGCTCAGCGCTGCATATGAACAACATGTTCATGGCAACATCACGTATGTCTCTAACTCTACCCCGCTTACTACTCTTCCACCCCATCCAAAAAGGCTCCCCCTTTTCTCGTTCCCTTCAAGTACCCCACTCTTTTCCGAAGTCTCATCTCTGTCCCCTCTGGTCCTCTTCCGTTTCCTTCTGCCTCCAATCCCTCCACAACTCAAAGTCTACTTCTCCCTCCTCTTCTTTCTCTTCTCTCTCTCCTCCTTCAATGGCTGCCGCAACTGCCGCTTCTCTCGGAGAGGAGGGTATCGAGGGCAATCCCTTGTTGCAGGACTTTCAGTTTCCCCCATATGATGCTGTTGAAGCCCAGCATGTTCGGCCCGCGATTCGTGCATTGTTGAAGACGCTTGTATTTTCTTCAAACCCTTTTTTTGCTTTTCAGTTTCTGGGTTTTGAACCTTGATGGAGAGTTTCCACTTGTTTATTTCTGTTTTCTGGTTTCTGGGTCTCTTTGTTTTGTTTATTTGGGTTTTGGGTTTAATCGTTGATGAAGATTGCTTGCATTTCGTTTGTTCAACTTTTGTATATTTGTGCATTCCGGACAACTTCGAATTGAATTATGAAAACATTTTACTTTCTGGAAAGCAAATTTTTATTCTTTTCAAGTCTTTTTTTGCTATACATGGTTTGATCTTGATGGATTGCATTTGTATGATTAGGAAAATGATTTGGAGGAATTGGAAAGGACGGTGGAACCATCATGGCCCAAATTAGTGGAGCCTTTGGAGAAGATAACTGACAGGTTGTCTGTTGTGTGGGGAGTAGTTAATCATCTTAAGTCTGTTAAAGATACAGCTGAGCTCCGTGCTGCTATTCAAGATGTCCAGGTACGTTGTTGTCACATTAGACGGAGTAAAAGTTGATCCAATTGTTTATAGAAATCTGCCATTTGTCCATGAATATTGTGCATTCTTCTTTCCTTCCCCTTTTTGGTTCTTACAATGCTTAGTTTTTCCTTACAGCCTGAAAAGGTGAAGTTTCAGCTAAGATTGGGACAAAGTAAACCCATCTACAATGCATTTAAAGCTATTAAAGAATCGCCTGATTGGCCAACATTGAGTGAAGCTCGGAAGCGTATAGTAGAATGTGAGTTCCTTTATTTTCTTTATTATCATCTAAGATTGAACGGGTCATTACTCTTTTTTTCTTCATTGCACTTTAATTTAAAGCTTCTCTGAATTGTCCATAGACTGCATTTGTATGTCAGAGGTGCAAAACTGTGGTTATCTGCATTAACTATAAAGTTCTTTTCTTAATTTTTTTTTACCTTGTTTATTTATGCTTTTAAAATGCACTTTGTTCATTTGGTGCCTAGATAGTTTTTAACAAAACATTAACAGTTTGATTTCTATAGAGCATGGGAGCTTCTCTTCTTGGTTGATCTCTTTTGTTTCTCATATTTAACAAAAAGCTATATCTATCACGTTTTCTGAGATTTGTTTCTTGTTTTGAGTTGTTTACAACTTTGCTCTTTTGTTCCTGCGCAGCACATATAAGGGATGCTGTTCTTAATGGTGTTTCACTTGAAGACGATGAAAGAGATCAGTTTAACAATATTGAACAGGTTCATTTCTAAACATTATAGTTGAAGATCTCCAGGAATAAGTAGAGAAGTATTTTCTTGGTGGCGTTAAATACACCCATTATATTGTTTCAAAGTCAGTTTTCCCTTTTTAAGCAAAAGTATGCATGTATGCTGTAGTTGGTTGGTGGCACAGCTGTGCATTGTCTCACTGTAACTGCAGAAACAGTCCAGGCTGAAAAATCTCTTGGCAGGATTTTGTTTTCTTTTCTGTTTTCATTGGCTGGTTTTTCTCGTTTCAGTTTATTTTAGAACCCTTGGCAAAGTTTGTGCTAGATTACTGGTCAGCATGTGCAACTACTTGATCTTTCAAGATTGATGAAAAAGGACGTAGCTTCCAATTCATACAAGCACTTGGCATGACTTTTGATTATAACAAGACTGTAATAATGCTGGGATATATTCTTTAATATGAGCGTGTAAAAGCTCCTAGACTTCTAACTTACAGGATTGTCTTTCTTGATCTCTGCTCTGCATTCCTGAAAGTTGGCTTGGTTTTTTTTCTGCAGTGTAGTTTTTTCATTAAACATCTTAAGCTGATACTGACAGCAAGAAGCTTCATCAGTCACCTGTTTTATTTCCCCCTTAATTTGATTTGTGGATGAGAAGGGGATAGATCTAATGCAAGTTTCTGAATTTGGTTTCTTATGTGTTATGTCTTTTTTAGAAAACTTCTGCTGTTAAATTTAACAAACAGGTAGATTTGAAAGGCACCAAATTGTCTTCATGCAACCCTTCTTTTCTTTGTTGCTGTTGTTGGCCATTGCTTTCTGTTTACTATGTCTTGATTTGCAGGAACTGAAGAAACTATCTCGGAAATTTGAGGAGAATGTTTTGGATTCCACAAAGAAGTTTGAAAAGTTAATAACGGATAAGAAAGAAATTGATGGATTGCCAGCATCTGCTCTTGGGCTTGCTGCACAAACAGCAAAGTCTAAGGTATTTACTTTTAGAATCTGCAAATGGTTGTAATGTGTTAATCTTTTGTTTATCAAGTCTAGTGCACTTTCTTACTTTTTATTTCTATTTTTTATTATACCTAGGGGCATGAAAATGCTACTCCTGAGGACGGACCATGGGTCATCACATTGGATATTCCTAGTTTTCTTCCTGTTATGCAACATGCTAAGAACCGTGCTTTGCGTGAGGAAGTATACCGTGCTTATGTAACTCGTGCATCTAGTGGTGATTTGGACAATACTCCGATCATTGTTCAGATATTGAAGCTTAGGTTGGAAAAGGCTAAGCTTCTCAATTATAATAACTATGCTGAGGTAAGGAGCAAGAGTGTATGTAAGAGTGCTTTGGTTTCACTTGCTTACTAAAGTATATTTTATCAGGTAAGCATGGCAATGAAAATGGCAACGGTTGATAAAGCTGAAGAACTCCTTGAGAAGCTATGCAGTGCTTCCTGGAATCCTGCAGTTCAAGGTAGCTTGCTAGATATAGTTTTCAATGGGTGCAAATGGTTCTAGTCCCAAGATCTTTGATCTGTTTGGGCTACCTAGTCCCAAGAGTGGTTCTATGGTTTCAAAATGAAACTCAGCTCCTACCTGATGTGATCTATTTGATAATACTTATCCTTTAAAAGCTACTGGACATTGGGGGCTATTTAATCATTTAATTATTCTTTTTACCTTTGTAGATATGGAAGATCTCAAGAGTTACTCTAAAAGTCAAGGTGCATCTGAAGCTGATAATTTGAACCATTGGGACATAAACTTCTGGAGTGAGAGGCTTCGGGAATTAAAATACAGCATTAATGAGGTTCTATCTTGTCTCTTCTCCTATCAAATTCAATTGATATCAAATCTTTGGTGTGTGACAGGGTGCTATGTTATCTAAGATCTTTCCTTTGTGCATGTGTGTCCAGGCTCTTTTCATTTATATTTTAGTTTAATTTATGCAATTGATCTCTTTCCCAAAGAAATACTTCTGTTTTTTGTTTCCTATTCAATACTATTTTTTTCTAAATTAATACTATTGTTTGTCTTACTTACATATCTTTTGAATTTGGTGCATTCTCTGAAATCTGACAAGCATGGCTTCATAATTCAAGTGAGGATTTGGTTTCCTGAGACTGCTGGAAAAGAAATTCTCGTTCTGCTCTTTATGTTGATTAGGTTTTGATTTTGTATGAAGAATTTCTGTTTGAATGAATTAAACAATGTTTTGTCTAAATAATTATGAAATTCACTTTGACTGATATTTGAAAAGAGTTAGTGGGTCTAATGAGTATTCTATCCATTGTTAATGAAGTTCTGGGTAAGTTAAGTGAGCAGTAGCTTTGGTAACTTAATTTTTGAGTAGAATTGACAGCAATCTTTGAAGAATTTTCCTGTCTTCTTTCCTTTTCTTTTAGATTTATTTGCTTGATTTATGATAACTCTTGGGACCTTAATTTTGTTTGGCAAAACTTGTGATGCAAATTTACAGGAAGAACTCCGTCCATATTTCTCATTGCCAAAGGTTATGAATGGCCTTTTCAACCTCGCTAATACACTTTTTGGAATTGTTATTGAGCCTGCCGATGGTCTAGCCCCTGTAAGCATCCTTGTTCTTTCTTTTATAAGTGCCTCAGTCACCTTTTTTAAATGGAATATTGATTTTATATCCTAATTAATTCACTCTCATTTTTCTTTCCCAAAGGTTTGGAACAATGACGTCAAGTTCTACTGTGTCAAAGATTCTTCAGGTACTCCAATAGCTTACTTCTACTTTGATCCATATTCTCGTCCATCAGAGAAAAAGGGAGGTGCGTGGATGAATGAAGTTGTTTCTCGAAGTCAAGTACTGTCACACAATGGTGCTGTGAGGTTGCCTATTGCTCACATGGTATGCAATCAGACACCACCAGTTGGGGACAAGCCAAGTCTTATGACATTTCGTGAAGTAAGTTCAAAACATTCTTTTTCAGCTCAATGATTTTAAATTTGGGGTTTTGAACATTTGGAAGGTAAGAATATCATGGTGAGAATTCCCAACACTTTCAATGTTTTCACTGTCCTCTAAAGAGACTCCAAACTCTGCCTAACCATTTTCCTTATGAGAGCTTTTCTGGTCTTATCTAGAAACAAATTGTTGAGCCACATAGGTCATAATTCTTTTTTCCTCTCAAAAGCGTGGCTTTATCTCATACTTTTGGCTAGAGCCAACACCTAGGGGACACTCCATGTCTCAATTCTTTTTTCAGTTAAGCATTTTAACAACATTCTCTCTTGTGGGAAATATGCTAGTTTTGTCTTGTTAAGAATGTAGAGATATATTTCATGTTTGGTTGTCTTTGTAGCACACTTTCTAGCATGTGGTTATATGTTTTGCAGCAATGGTTTAATGTCCATATATGATCTATAGTTCATACTTCATTGGCATTTTTTGCCCTTTTACTTTTTCTGTCAGGTTGAGACTGTCTTCCATGAATTTGGACATGCACTTCAGCATATGCTAACCAAGCAAGATGAGGGTCTAGTTGCTGGCATTCGGGGGGTTGAATGGGATGCTGTTGAGTTACCCTCACAGTTCATGGAAAATTGGTGTTACCACAGGTGAATCTCTAACCAAAATCCAAATTCTTTGAGATTGCCTCAGACTGCCTTTTCTTTAATTATTGCTAGGAAAATGATACATGGCTGTGGAAGACAAGTGAACAAGGCCAAATAAACAAATGTGTTGAGTAGTACAGCTCTTCTTTCTTCCCATTTATTTGGTTTCCTGCAGCTCCATGGTTGTTTCCTTACTCTACTATTAATCAACAGCTGTATTTTATATTATACATGTAGCCCTCTTGACCATGTCCAGGAAATTGCAAGGTTAAGTTCATTTCAGTCTCCCTCCCTGTCATAGACTTCTATATTTTATGGATGTTTTTTCTGCAGGGATACTTTAATGAGCATTGCAAAGCATTATCAAACTGGGGAGAGTCTCCCTGAAGATGTGTATTTGAAGCTCCTTTCCGCGAGGACTTTTCGTGCTGGTTCTCTAAGTCTTCGTCAAGTTAGTTCAAACTCCGAACTTTTATTCCATCTCATTTTTTGCTAGTGCATCTTATTAGTGTACAGCCTTCTGCAATAAAATGCTTCACCAAAATTAGTGGGTTTATTTGAGCTCCCACATGCTTATTCGAGCTCAAACTCATATGTATTGGGCTTATTTGAGCTCCCACATTATCAGTCTCCCAACAGCACACTCTCAACTGTGTGTTTTGTCAATGGAGATTATCATATTCGAGGGAATTGGATTAGCATTTGATATGGTATTTAAGTACTCCGGAGCAGGTACCTTAACTCTTTCCCCCTTGCATTTTAGATTCGATTCGCCATTGTGGATTTGGAACTACACACCAGATATGCCCCTGGTGGTTCAGAATCCGTTTATGATGTTGATCAGAGAGTTTCAAGGAGGACACAAGTGATGCCTCCATTACCAGAAGATAGATTCCTTTGTAGTTTCATGCACATATTTGCAGGTTTGCCCTCTCTACATTAGTTTTTAAAAAAATGTCATATACTATTTTTTTCTTTTTTTCTCTTTTGGTGCAACCTTCTTGTATTTTTTTTTATGTGTTAATTGTCATTGGTGAATATCAGGTGGATATGCTGCTGGGTACTACAGTTACAAGGTATTGTTGATCATTTGGGCTACCCCCCCCCCAAAAAAAAAAGAGGAAAACTACTTGTCTTTGTGTGATTCAATAATTTGTGTACTTTTTCTTTCGCATTGCCCTTTGTAATGCAAACTAAAATTAGAATGGCTAATTTTGCAGTGGGCAGAAGTGTTGTCTGCAGATGCTTTCTCTGCATTTGAGGATGCTGGATTAGATGATAGCAAGGTAGGGTAGTTGAAAGAGCTGTTCTGTGCTGTTCATCATGGCATTGGAATTTGTCCTTCATTTTCTAGCATGTTTAGCGTGCATTTTTAGTTCTATCATCTTTGTAGAAAATAGAGTAAAATTAGGTTATTAACACCCTCTCTCACACACTTTTATCTTTTCTGTTTTAATCTGTAAGTAATTGTGTATATTTGTATTCAACAGGCTGTTAAATTAACTGGCCAGAAGTTCCGAGAGACCGTTCTTGCTCTTGGAGGTGGAAAGGCACCATTAGATGTAAGTCAATGCAAACTCTATGATGGCCACATAACTTCTTCTCCCTCCAGTTTTCTGTTTTGATTGATTTAATCTGTTATAGAAATATATTTCTGACCTCATCATATTTGCATCATAATTTCCACTGTGGAACAAGAATTTCTTAACTTGTCATGTTGTTTCATCCAGGTCTTTATTGAATTCCGAGGTCGTGAACCTTCACCAGAGGCACTACTCAGGCACAATGGACTTTTGTCAGTCGCAGCCTCTGCATGATTAATTTAGTTTCAGATTTCCATACAGGATTAGTAAAAGACAGACACAGACTAGTTAATTAGGCCATTAGTGTTTTTGCTTTGCACTACTTTGATTAGTACTCATTTTAGCTGATGTTTCGATGATGCGAGCTCTGACATCTATAACGCTCTTCGCATCATTGTTTGAATTTATTTTTAAGAAATGCAATTATTATTTTTTTGGCTGGCAGTGATTGATGCTTCTTAACAAGAATATCAGAAACTGTCATAGAAGTTTGATTCTTTAAATACAAACACAAATATAGATTGGAGGGCTACAAGCCAGGGTGCTTAAGTCTGCAGTATAAGTATCCAAGGATTTCTCGTTGTTGGCTGAACATCATTTGTGTACTGTTGAATGCCTACCCCAACATCTGCTACCTTGGCTCTGGAGGAGCAATTGCTTGTGGGACACTGGGTGATGGGTCCATTGAATTCGGGATGGAGAGTAGAAGTTTGCTCACTACAGCCGTTGGGATACGATTGGACCCTCCAATGCTGTATAGGCTATCAATGGACTTCATGTATTCAGATGCATTGTTCTCTATGATCAGGGCATCCTCCAGCTCCCGCACGATGTCATCCATGCACGGTCGGTTGGCAGATAAGGGCTCAGTACATGTCAATGCCACCTCAACCACTCTCCACATTGCCTCCGAATGGTACAAGCCCTTAATATTACGGTCCACAATTTCTTCAATCTTTGACTCTCTAATGAAATGTTTTGCCTGCATATCAATGTCTTCTTTGTTAGTTCTTCCTCTCATTTCGTTTGAGAACAATAAAAAAGAATCTGATGGATGCAGCTAACTGGCTAAGTTTGAAATGTAAAGTGCATTCTTGAACAACTTAAGAAGAAAAACAACAGGAATTAACAGCTTTAGAAGTTCGATGACGGTAGATCAGGTGTTTACCCATTCAACTAAGCTCCATTCTTTTCGTGGCCCCTTAATGTTAAAAGGCTCCCTTCCACTGACAATTTCTAGCAGAACCACGCCAAAGCTGTATACATCGCTTTTTGCAGATAACTGCTGGGTTGAATAGTACCTGAATAACATGAAAAATATACTTCAGACTTCTAGTTAGAGGGTAAAGGAAACAACAGAGAGAAAAGAGATAACTGCAAGAAAATTTTCTTTTCTTATTAGACTATGCAATGTTGATGGAAGTCCAACAAATATGCACTGTGTTGACAATGCAAATACATGTGGGGAGTTTCATATACAATTATAGGCAAGAGCATGGTATCTGAAATCCAAATGAACTAAGCAACATGGATGCTTACTCAGGGTCTAAGTAGCCAGCAGTGCCTCGTACTTCAAGGGAAATGCCAGTATCCCCTTCTTGAGGAGCGTACTTAGAGAAACCAAAGTCTGCAACCTTGGCACACATACTATGATCCAAAAGTATGTTACTTGATTTTACATCCCTATGTATAACACATCCCCTAGCAAATGTGTGAAGATACATCAAACCTGAAAGTTGACAATGCTACTCAGAAACTTTTGATAATCCTTTTCCCTTTTTTTTCTGGTAATTAGTTCAGTTAAAAAAAATAATTATGTCTATGTAAGAAAAAACTGCCCTGGACCCAGGAACAACATGCAAAAAGCATAAAAGCTGAATATCAGATATTACTTGCCTCTAGCAGCACCAAGAGCAATGGATAGCCTTGTTGGCCAGTCCAAAATTTTCCTCTTTGCTGCTTCTCCTGTTGAACTAATTGTGATCAGGATGTGACGAATATCACAAATCAAATCAAAGTGCTGGTATTAGGAAGTACCATAGAGGCGATCTTGTAGAGAGCCATTGGACATGAAAGGATAAACAAGGATCTGTTGGTCATTCTCACGGCAGTAACCAAGAAGAGGGACCAGATTCTCATGCCGAATAGCCGAAAGAAGGTTTAGCTACATACACAATAATGCTGGTTGTCAGTCAACATATTATTAACATAAATTGAAGCCACAGTCAAAGTATTCATTGAGAACCAGTTATGATTAGGAAACGGAAATGAATCATTAGGATTGAACACAAGAGGAAATGCTCCATTAACCTCATTATCAAATTCTCGAGTTCCCTGAGTTGATGTGGCTGAGAGGACTTTCACTGCCACTTCCTCACCATCAAGTAAAGTACCTTGGTACACAAGTCCAAAGCCTCCTTCACCAATCACAGTCTTGTATTTCTCGGTGACAGTCTCAATATACTCTAGAGTAAATGTCTCTATCTGTTTAGAAATGGGCTTAATAATGACGTCATCCATGCTGGATATATTGTACACCGGATCTGCAATTTTAAGAGTCATATCATTCACCTTCATACAATAAAACATACGACTGCAGAAATACTTAAATTAACTTAAACCAATAACCTTGTGTCTAGTGGAGAAATGTCAATTGTCACTCCATTTTAGATAGGATTAAGTTTTTATTATATTCTCAAATTTTGAAGCAAACCAAGGAACATTGTCTTCTCACCTTCTCACTTTCTAACTACAGAAATATACATGTGGTTTACCCAAGTAAAATCTAATGACTATGATTCTAGGCAAATGAATGACTAAGATGATAGAGCCTTGGCTTTTATGCTCTTGCATATGCAATGATGCAGTTTCCAAGATACTGATGGAAGAACCATTTATAGACAGTAGCTCCGCTGAAAGTGATACTTTTTTGAAGCTATTACAGAAAATCCAAATCAAGACCATAAATCAACAGTAAACTGCACTCAGAAAACATAGGATCAATAAGGAAAGTATTCAGTTACTCACCACTTTTCATTGGATGTCGTTTCTCATCAAATATTCCTTGAGCAATCAATTTTTTCCTGCGGCAGCAGAAGACTGTTCCAAGAAGAACAATAAATAGGATGAATCCACTTGTAGCAATGCCAATTGCTAATCCATGCCCCTGTTTTTCTGATTTGCACTGACACGTTGTATTATTGCTGAAATATAAAATGTAAAATATTTTCAGTTTCTTCTCTTAAATGATTTTACGTTATTTTCTTTTCTTTTTGTTATTTTCAAAATAATAGAGAATGGATTTCATACTCTTCAATGACTAGGTTTGGGCCCTCAGTTGGAAAAGATGTGTTGAGCAGAGGATTGCACCCAACAAATCTGGAGAAGCAATAACATAATTATTTAATTATTAAGGTCATAGCCTTACAGAAAAAAGAACTGTTAAATTCATAATTTGAGATAGATATTTGCAAGTGTACAAAGTGGAGAACTATGTATTAAGAGGACAACTCACTAGAGATCAGATGTAAGGTACTTATATTATTAAATTTGGTCTCAATTATAAGCATATCCACCTAGTGAAGATGTATTCACTGAAAACAACAGATCTTCTAGTTCTTACACAAATGTTGCATAATGCTCTGGTAAACAGTAAAAAAATATGATTTCAGATAATTCAAGGGAATTATACTTGGCCTAAATTGCTAAAAACTGGGATAACTTCTAGTATATCCTCAGTGATGCAGGCTTTTGTATTTGCAGATATCATTTTATTTAATTAATGTGAAATTTTGAAAAATAATTAGTAACAAAAAGCTCAAATTAGACTTTGAATATAAAATTACACTGATTTCAAACTGGAATTTAAGAGAAATGTTGGGATTGTGCCATTGAAGTAGTTGCAACTCAAGTTCCTGCAAATCACAAATAATTGACAGAAAGTACGTCGGAAATTAGGAAGCTTGCTACTCATAAGTAAACATCAAAAATCCGGAAGCAAATAGCATTGAAACCATACAGATATTGCAGGTCAGTTAAATTTGTGATGTTGGAAGGGATTGGCCCATAAAATCCTTTGCTAGAAAGATCTCTGCAATAGCATGACAATGAAGAAGTATCAATTTTCCATACAACCATAGTATGAAAGTAAACAAATTCCCATTTTAGCTTATCAAAATCCTTATCTCACAAAGTCTGTGGGCAAGGCAAGCACTTGAGTATTCTTAAAGTGGAAGAAATAAAAACAACTCATTTGTAAAAGTTCAAAAAAGGAATATTACTTACAGCGCTGTGATTTTGAAAGTGGTATCATTTGAGTTGCCGCAAACCACACCTTCCCACCGATTAGGACATGGATTTCCAGTCCAATTTTCTGTTAATATTTTTATTTCTTGGTTAAAAGTCCACAACTCATACCTCACCCACCTCATCACAGCCCCTGAATAGGATAAGCCACAGTGTGAAAACATAGGTGCTTCATAAACTGTCATGGAAATTTGTACTGAAAAAGGAAGGGATGAGATGGGGGCAAAAGCTCTTCTATCGCTTACAATTATCAACTTGGTCAGACTTCAACAACCTTTGCTTCCCTTCTCCCATCATAGTCACTGGACGGAAAATCCACACAAAAAGCAAAAAAAAAGAAGGAAAACTGTTGGTGCTTCATAAACTGTGATGTAAAATGTATTTGGGAAAATAAGGGGGAAATTGGTGTAAAACCCCTCCTAAACCTACCATCTCTTGGGTCCACCGGCTGAACCCATGGTCGGACCTGGAAAATCTCGTAGCCATTACAAATGGGTCCTAAATCAAATCCATTTGCGACCTTAACCAAGCTGAAATTTAGTGACCCATTTGCCCTGACACTCAAAGTAACCTCTTTGTAGTTGGATCCATCGGCCAAAATATCAAATTTCTGCACTCTCTTCTCATTGTTAATGTAAATGTCGAATACCCTTTTGCCAACTGAGACAGTTTCACTAAGTTCAAGAAAGTAGAGGATTATGGAGTAGTTGAAATACCCTGTGTCAAGGTTATTGTGACTGAAATCCAGACGGGTTGGCTTCGTCACAGCGGTGTGTAGGACTTCGAGAGGCACTGTTGGGGTGGCATTGTGAACAGAAACATTGGCGCTGGCTGAGGATTCTGGACTTGACGCTGGCTTCCAGACCCTGTCATATCGGTCCTCTGGGTATCTGAAATTATAAAATATAAACAAAGGAGTTTATCACTTGACATTTGATACAGTGTTTCTTTTGGGGGAGACCATCAGGGAACCCCTTTTTCTATTATTATTGGTAAGCTACCCACCGCAAATGACTTAACGATATATTTTCATTTAGAAAAATGGAAAGAGAAAGATTGAAAGGGAAGAATTTTATTAATTAAATTATAATAATTTTTTTTAAACAAATTTGTAAAATGTTGGATTTGAATTGTTATCTTAGAACGAAAGAATGTATTTATCCGTGTGATCTAAAGTTATTAGGCCCGAAGATTCAAGTGTAATTAAATTATAATAATTTTATAATTAAGTACAGATGAAAAATGATAACTACTTAATTATAAGCTCCAGTATTCAAATGGTGATGAGATATCTGGTAAGGCACTGTTACACAGCAACATCAGCATTTATCAATCAAACGGACAAAAGATGAAGTAATAGGGTTTATGGTTTGAAGATACTTCTAGTTTCTTGGTTTAATATTTGCTTTTTGGACCTAATTCTCATCTATTAAAAATTGGAGTAAATATATTTGTCCGTTTAAATTTATTTATTTATTTATTAATATGTTTACAAGAATGAAATTCGAACCATTACCCCAAAAAAGAGAATACAATTTAATGTGACTTTATTATCACTGAATCGAAGACCTAAATGTTCGTTTACATTTATATTATAAAAAAAATAAAAAGATAAAATAACTTGCATATTAATTCTTATTCTATATATAAATTATTGTTAAAATTTGTATGTTTATTATTTTTCTACATAAATACTCACCAATTTAATTTCAAAATATTGATTCTAAAATATTCAAGCTAAGAAGTTCCCTAGAACTCAAGGATATAGAGGTAGGACCCTATAGAACAGATCATGTTCAAGTAAGGTTGTACCCAAGAAGTTCCTACAGGAATTAAGCAAACAGCCTTTACGTGAAGCATCAACGTTTGCTAATTTTGGGTTTTACGATTCTTCTCACCAATAGCATAGGAAGATGCATACCTGATCTCTGCACTGCTGCCCCCAAGATCAATTCTATCAACCACCTTCAAAATTCTGGAAGGATCTCCCTCCGCAAGCCCTAACCCATCTACACGCCTTAGTTCAAGACTCGAAATATAAACATCCCCATTTTCCTGAACCAAGCAGAAGTCAACAGCCTCATATGTGGCCCTAAATATTCCCTCCACCACCGAGTCCACCGTCGAGTCCACCTCCCCCACAACCGTCTTCCCAACCACGACTTGGAACGACGATCCCGGACCAGCTGTCTCTGTGTTCCCAGAAAAAGAACTCCGGACCAGATATTCCCGATCCCTAATTGTCGTCAAGGTATAACACATCGGGGACGATTCGAGGTCAAAAACACGAGCCTTTTTGTACCCATTAGTCCTCGTTATGGTTCTACAGCCTCGTCTATCAGGAAACCAACCGTCATCTGGTATCCATTGTAAATTGTTATCTGTATAGTTCGAGTCCGCACAGCAGGCTATGCTCAAGAACCCTGCATGAACATAATGGACTGTTCATTATTTTGAACAAGATCTACCACTGTAATTCTACACAGCTAACTTTAATAATGATTCATATAGATCTGAATCACTACAGTTTCCATCCTTGGTAAAGATTCTAAGATTTGAAACATTCAAGCAAGAATGATAATTCATATTGATCAAACTACAAATATAAAAGTCAGAAAATTCTAAAAACTATCAAAAAAGAAGAAGAAGAAGAAGATATATATTAGGATACTAACCTGGTTGTGCATGTGTAGAAGGAAGAAGAATGAAGAGGCAAAGAATAAAACACTGAAGTAGATATCTTAAAATCAAAAGATCAAATCCCTCCATCAATTGATCCAATATTATGGCTTCATCTTAACCGGGTGGAATAAATCGCCTTGGCTACTTATTGTACCCATATAATAATCAATGCTTATTAAACTTTCACTAGAGCTGAATTCATCCTTCTTCAAATACCATTAGAAACTTGTCTCTCCCAATTCAGAAGTGATAACCCTTCCAAAGGACACGGTTCTAGCTAGTTCAGTTGATGAAATTTAATGGAGCTATGGAAATCCACGGCAGCAATGAAGAATAAACGCAACAAAGTGACGGAAGGGTTGGAAGGAAGGAAGGAAGGAAGGAAGGTGAGGAGGGATCAGGACATAAACATAGTTAGGTTTGACTTCCAAATGGGTGGAAAACTAGAGGAATAATACGAAAGGTTTGTCGACTATAATTTTTAAGGTTAAAATAATTATAATTAATATTTGTTCTTGTTTGGGTCGTGTTAAGGGTTAGTAATCTATATCTATCATCTTAAAAAATTTAATTAGGAAAAAATAACTATACGAGGGAGGAGAGGGACCAACCTCTCATCTATTCGTCCACTTCCGTCTCTCTTCTTGTCTGATACCGTGGATGCAACATCATGGTATATAATGGTTTTTTTTTTTAAAAAAAAAATCATAATTAATTAATTGATTCGCTCGTAAAAGCCTGTCCAGCATGGTTAAGTTTTGGATTAGCTAAGCGTAAATAAATGAAAAAAAAAGTGTTCTTTTTTTAAAAAATCTAAGGTGATCAAAAGTGATATTTTTTATTTTCTTAATTAAATTGGTTAGAAGTTATTTAAACTATACAAAATCTTAAGTTTGAATCCCTCCACTTACCATTCCAAGGAAACAATTCCTACTATCCTTGCCCAGGCGGTTGCCTAAGTTTGGGATGAAAGACTCTTAATAAGAAAATTTTTTTGTGCAATTTAAATTCCATTATATTTTATAACAAGAATTTCTCTTAATAATTGAATAAAAATGTATTATTACGTATAACAATGATGCGAGTTGTAGCTACTAAGAATATATCTTAATTAATAGAGCTTAAAACTTTAAATTAGATTAAAAAAAATTTTATTTTAGAGCTTGTTAGAAGAAACATAAAAATAAACTTTTCTCTTTTGTATAGCACACTTAGTAAATATATCGAACATAATGACGATGAGCTGTAAAACGAAAAAACAGACGTGGAAGATTAGCAAAAAGTGTATTACAGATTGGAAAGATTGAGATAATTACTACTCCAAAGGGGTGTGTGACCCAGTAAAAAATTATCATAACTAAAATGCCACTTGAAAATTTGGACAACCTTAATATCATTCGGGTTTTTAATAAGATGAAACATGAATTAATCATTTGATTTCATTTTTTAATTTTTTATTAATACTACTGTTTCTCCCATGTTTACTTCTTTAACTTGGCCTGAAAGCACGGCATCCCTTGAAATAATATCATGCTTTGAAAGTTTTTTATGCTTAAATTAAAATTAGACATGGAAGGGAATATTGTACTTTATCAAGTTTTAATGTAAAACTCACATTTTGAAAAAATTTTAATTCTCCTAGAAGGAAATTAATACCTGCTTAGTTAAGTAATTGGTTTCACCCCTAGTTAAGGCATTTTTGTCAAAGGATGGTGTCATATAGGCAACGTTCCTAACTAATAAT